ATCCTTCTTTAGCTCAGCTTGCTTGAGATTGGAGGAGGGCGTACATGTATGGAGTCATGGACTGGAGGGCCAAGAAGCCGATCATGATCATCATCATCATGAAGCAGAAGAGGGTGAATTGAAAATGCTTACGATTAAATTCAAGCAAGCCCCCGGGAGAACCAATGGATCTGTTTAGATAGAATGGACTGTTCCAAGTCAGAGTTCTCGGTCGAAGAAGGGGAGCCGGAGGGAGAAGAAGAGAAGATGGATGGTTGAGCAGCAAGGGTTTTTCTTTTTTTTCTTTTTTTTAATCGAGGCCGGAGTGATTACACTGTCTGTTGACCAAATCGAGCCGGATTGATAATCAGCCCAGCCAGGGGATCTTTTAATTCTGATCAAAAGGTGGTGGAGGTCTTCACACTCTTTTCGGCCCATACAATATCAAACACTTTACTTCGATCGCACCCTCCGGAGTATAATCTCGCTGGAATCTCGAGCCAGCGCCTGGGCCTGCCGAGAAAGAAAAAAAAAGATTATACATACCCAGCAGCTGGCCGAAAGAGTTTTATGTAATTTATAATCCTCGGCATCAGAACTTGATAGTCATAAATAGGGCAGCAAGAAAAAGTTACAATAAATCATTTCAGGAGAATACATAAATACATACAAATAATACACACAAGGTTTCCAGCTTCCACCTGATCAAACAAACTTCATCAAATCCACTGCGATAATAGACAAGAAAAAAAAGAATGATTGATTGGATTTTGAGTTTATAAAATTGCCCGGAACAGCAGATTGTACCTAAAACTGCAGGAAACCAGATGTGCGGTAATGGCTGGCTGGCGATGCATGAAGAAGTGACAAAAGTGATTACAAGGTTGAGATGAGATGTTTTGGACTGATCTCAAGACAGCTTCTTGTTGTACAATAAGCTCGAACGAGCCCGATGGTTTTTTCTGGGGATCATGGAAAACGAACACAATTATTGGTTGTAACTTTAAACCAGCTGGTTCCCTGAGGCAAAGATCAGATAAATCAAGACTTGCCGGTCGAGGGTCTGTTATCCAAACCAACCTTGACCAGAATGGTACATACCAACGGATTTTTGTTATATGTATGGCCAAGAGAGAGAGCGCTCACATGAGATCTAGTGATAATTGTTCACACCGAAAACAAAAAAGAAAAATGGGATTTGAGGGCCATAATCTACACAGGACTTGAACCCCGGCCAGGCTGGTAGCAAACAATTGTAAAACACCGCTTGAAACGCGCGAGAACGATCGGCCTGCGTGGACTGGTGACTGGTCCTGGTGGGCGCTGAGGTTTGCTGTGAATTGATGAGGCTATCGTATTCTCCATCTCCCCCTCCCCCATCATCTCACTCATCGCAGTCTGCATCCGCTACGATCATCATCATCATTTGTTCCGGCGGTGTGCCGGAATCCCGGGCCCAGCCAAATGAAGCCGAACAACACTCTAACATAAACCAATTTATCTGCATCGTTAGACCAATATCAATTAGAACTATAATAATCTATCTAAACACATACATAATACATCAATTAAAGAAAACCCCCCGTTGGTCTTGATGAAGACGCCCTTGACACACACACACACAAAGAGATTGATCAAGACATCTTGTAACGGTCCTCACACAGAATCGGCATCGTTCGGCTTGATCATATCTATTTTCCATTCTCCTTCCGGCACGCCACGGCCGAGAGTCTGGCCGAAGCCGGAACTCCCATTCCTGGAGCTCAGACTGCTTATGTATTTATGCATAGGGAGGAAGAGCGATGTTTAAGGAGCAAGCCGCCGAGATGGCCGATGGGTCCAAAAGCTGTAATACTCTTGTTTATGTGGCTTCAGTGATATATGGGATGGGGTGTGGACACATTTGGTGTCCGGCCATGAGGGCCTCGCGGAGGGTGCTCGTCTCTACACGGGCACTCGATCGAGTGTACGGACACGCCGGACGGGGCCAAAATGGACTCTTCATCAGCAGTCTGCAGGACTTGCCATGGGCTTTTTTTTTGTGCCAAGGACATGATCATGATGGCAAGCTTAATTACAACTGGGACAGAGATTAAAGATGATGATGATGACGCCGCCGGATGGCCGACTTGCAGGTCATGTCGGATTCCACCTCCAATGTTAAGCCCTCGAATGATTTGCATGCGGATCGGCAGATTGCAGCTCTGGAAAACCGGGGCGAAACTCGGGGTAAAACCAACATCAAGGTATCACGCAGACACACAAATTTAGATTAGGTATTCATGCTCAAACACGGTATGTACAAAGTATGGAATCCGCCGGACGAGCTGGAGTGTGTCTACACCGTCTCTTGGTGGCGCTCGACGACAAGTTGATCTCTCTGATTGGCCCCGGACTCCGACGGGAATCTCAGCGCCTGGCGGTGCCCGCCAGGAAGCCAAAGGTTCTTTGTGTACTGGAGCATCGGGATCCAAAATCAGGCGTCGCCTCAGCTCGCTTCCCTCCCCGGAAAACCACCTGGCTGCTCATTATGTTTCTGTCTGATGAAGCATGATCATGCGTCTTTGCCACACGGGCATTTATAAAGAGCCGGGGGATAGCTAGAGACACACAGGAGGACGCAAGTCCCCCGCCTCCTCCGAGTCCTGCCAAACTGGGAGCCCCCCTCAAAAAAACTGGTGAAAACCAAAAGAGATGGGACGCCTCGAAACAAGGCACGACGAATCCGGCAAGCCCTCAAGCTTAAAATTGCACAAGTTCCGGCTGGCAGCCGCCGGCAAACAAACCCTATGTAGATGGACAAACTTAGTCGAGTCCGGCAGCTGAGCAGGGCGGAGTCTGACGAGTCAGATTACTGCTTGACGTGACTCCGCTGACTGAACGGCTCGTGAAGGCTTGTTTATCCTCCTGATTCAACCGCGTCGTGCCGGCCGTGCAGTAGTAGCAAGCTTTTCTATAGTCTCGATTCCCCCATCGTCCAGCTCGGATTGGTGCCGGTGTCTGGGGGATTTTGAACAATGTCCCACTGCGAATCAAAGCTTTTTGGGAGGTATGTTGCATAGGGTTCCGATCCGGGCCTCCGGGTTCGGGTATCGCCTTTCCGAGATCCGAACCCGACATATCCGGCTC